ACAAATAGAGAAGCATTAGATGTTAACACTGTTGGGAATTCCCTTGCCAGTAAGTCCAGGCTCACTAGAAGGATAGAGCAAAGTGTATGGGATCTTGGCTGGTCCAACTCGGTTCTTCAATTTCTCATCCTTGTTCATTTTTATAATTCTTTTCTCAATTCCTTCCAGCTTCTTTCTAAAATCCTCAGAGGCTTGCAACATGTTTGCATCTGTTGTCCATTCTGGGGTGCCTCTCTGCCCCAGATAAAGCTCATCAACTGGGTGCCTTGATAAGATTTCTATGGAGGCCATGCCAAGCAGGGTCTGCAGCTGAGGTGTAAATGTTTTCAAGAATGCCTTGTCAGGGTTAGTTTTGAGTTCCTCATACTCAGGAGTGCCTTCTTCCGGCATGAAGTGCAGGCTTATGGTTGGCCGGTTTGGGACGTATCCACCTATAGAGTACTGGCCATAGTTGATTGCTGCATGATAGGCTGAAGAGAGCCATATGACAATGGTGCATGATTCTATCAGCTCTTCACAAGTCCGCATTTTAGGCCACCATGGTTCATCTTTATGGTAGAAGGAGCAATACTCTTTAACCCATGTTTTAATTGCAGACCATATCTCAAGCCCATCAGCAGCATATGGATAGTCCTCTATCAGTAAGCGTACACTATGTGACGATTTTGGATCTTCAACCGCCATTCCTCTGAACATAGCAACGGGTAGATAATTAAAAACCATCAAGCCTGTCATCTTCGTTGTTTTTGAGACTTGTTTAGAACATAATGACAGTATTCATCAAATCTTTTAGACCCTTTAATTGTATTCATTTTTCCCTGTAACATTGTGTCTTAGCTCTAATATTTGAGTTGCATCCATTGCCGAAATTTTTAGATGAAAAACGTTATGGTCATAATATTTTACCTTTTGATGAGATCCACGGGAAGTGCTTGTTCAGGAAAGACCCAGTTCTTGTACATTACAGACGACCATTCCATTGAAAACTTTGCAGGAAAGACTGTTTCCTCTATAATTCCACCGGCATTTGTAAGAACCTCTCTAGCTATTGCGTTTGCATTCATAGTTTCACGAAAATGAGGATGCAGAAGTTTATGAATTGGGTGAAGCACGCTCAACTGCCGATTTGCTGCTATCACAAACGGTTCAATCACTGCATGAGTTTTTAACCTGCAACACAACAAGAACATATTCAAGATGCATTTGGGGAAAAATGTTTGGTTGCCATGCTTTCTTTGACAGTGTTATACCAGTGGCTGATGAGCTGATGATGGCCAGAGTCATTTACATTCACATAAGCTTTAGCAAGTTGCCAAATGGAACTCTCGACGCCCTGGCTAGAGGGAGTATAGACTTTGCTAATGCAGCCAAATTGATCTCCATCAGGATGTGGCAAGCTTAACTCAATAGCTAATGGCTTCAAAGTCCCATCATTTTCTAAGAAAAGGAGTGTTCTGCTTGAATAAGTTTTTGTGGAAGTTGTGTTTATACGCCTCAGGTACGGCATCAATTCATCATGGTGGTCTAATATGAATAGCTTGTTGTTCTTGATTGCCTATAACACCAAATACTTTTCAGTAATTATTTTCGAATAAGAATATAACAAGAACATATGTTGAATTAAATAAGTCAGTAGCATTACCTCATCTATGCTCAGTCCTTTTAAGTTATGTTCTATGTGTTCTTTGGTTATTTGACTTGTTTGATCCCCATATGCTTTTTGGTCTAACTTGCTAGCAGGTGGAAATTCCTGCAGTTTATTCAGGAATAACAATGATTAAGGATGAAAGTCAAAGTAATATAAATTCAAATGTAGCTTCGAGTTTTCCATTTTCTTAAATAAATAAATAAAACAAATGTCAAATGTAGCTTCGAGTTTTCCATTTTCTTAAATAAATAAAAAAAACAAATTTACACAATAGATCACGAAAGCTTAAGATTACTTGGAGACGACGAATGGCGACAGGATTTACTCCAGCCAGCATTTCTCTTGCAAATTCTTCATCAGTTCTCCATGCCGACTTATTGTCTAGTAAAAATCATTAGAAGACCAGCGTCAGGTAAAAGAAAGCAGTATAAATGAAGGCACATAGACTAGTAAACTACATACCTTGGATCACTTGAGGCACTGGGAATTTGAGGAATTTTTCACCATCAGTTCGAAAAAGTTCCTTGAACAGCTCTTCATGTATGCTATCCCTAATATATTTTAGTATACCATCAGGCAACTCTATACCTCCTTCATAGAGCTTAAGTACTTCTTGCATGTTGTTGAACTCATTGTGGCTGCCAACAAGTAGAGCTGCTAGCTCAGGTTTAAGGACCTGAGGTATGGTTTTCAAACCATAAGCAAGCAAGTCTGACAATTTCAAGGGACCAAATCGTTCGTCTCTTGGAACGTATATATTTAGGCTCATAATAAGCTTCAGCTGGCTCTCAGTGTTAGGATCTATCAAGACAAAATCAGAAAATTCTTCATGACAACCATTCTTTCTGAATGAGCTAAAAGTAGTAGAAATCCATATTTCCTGTTTGTCATTTCTAAAGACTGAAAAAATACCAAGTTTATCAACTAACCTGTCTCAGTTGGTGGTCTTCCTGTTCTTCCCCTGCGAGGATAAGGGAACTCACTCGACCCTCCGAGAACTGGACGGGCATACTCCTGACCCTTATCTGGATTCCCCAAATCATTGTAATAGGCATAGTCATAGACCCTGTCCCATTCCTGAAGCTCTCTTGTTTTATCATCATCATCTCCTCTCAAGTTTACTAGCTCTTCTTCTCTGAATTTCTGTAGTGGCTTCGGTGTGTCACTTGAAAGATAAGTCTGCACAAATATACAAATCAACCTACTAGTTTACCATTTGCAGTATTTCTAGCAGTCCATAAACTACAACTAAATGAGTTTGTCTTAATGGACTTCAATCTCCCTCTCTCTCTTTCTCTCTCTCATGCGTGATTAATGAGTTGCATTAGAACTGCATTCTTTCATCCTACAAACTTTTACCTTGTTTGCGAAGAAAATGCGGTCTTTTTTGTACTTGTCAGCAGGGTACACCCATGAGTTGCAGACAAAGTGGATTTGACCTTCACCAGGAACATCTTCAAGCGTGAGAGTCTTCAAGTAAAACTCACTGTGATGATCATTTCTAATTATAAATGCTCCTGGGACCCCAATCTCCTCATCCCAATCAAAAGTAATATCAAATGCAGAGTCCCCTGCTGTTAAGGGGGTGATTGTGGTAATCCAATTTTCCAAATATGCTGGCTTTCCAACTTTTCCTGGGGACCCCTTTTCTACAAAAGGAGATCAAATGAAAAAAGGATCAATAGATGTTCAATTATAAAACCTCCAAATACTAGTTTTTTTTTCTTTCTCTGTTCTAAATTGAGATGTTTTGTCTTTTGAGGTTCTGGTACTAATAACTACAAGTAACTTGGAACCATTAAATAAGCATGGATGCTAACAAAATAACAAGTGAACTAGAAGCCTATGTATCTATGAACTTAAAAGACAAAGTAGTATTCAGTTCTCACCAGGGTCACCATTGACAGAACTAATGAGCTGCAGAGAAACCGCTTTGCCTACCAGCTCTTCAACACGATCGAGAACCGATGCTGTAAGGTCGTTCAAGTCCAGAACATTCTTCTTCATCAACACCACCCTCCCTTTGATCTTCATGCCCTCATAGTTGGGGTGTGGATCAATGGTGTTGTTCTGGGATGCCTTGGCAGCTGTTGAAGCCAAAGGCAACGGTTGAGATCGTGTAACATCATCCATGCTCAAGAAACCAGGCAATTTAGGCAACAGTAGTGGCCTGTGATTGATTGATGTGAGGTTGTTGGGTGTTGCTACTGCAACTACTTTTCTCTTGAAGCTCAAAGGGGATAAGAGATGCTTGCAATGTAGCATCTTCTATCTGATTCAAGAACTAAAAGAACTTATTAGAAGATGGTTTGAAGATCTCAGCATGAAGAATATGAGAATGGTGTGTGTTGTATTTATTAAGGTCAATGAGTTCAATATATAGAACAGTAGTACAGGTGACCATTTCTTTCAAAAAGTCTCGTATACTACTTGCCCTGCATGTGGTGGTCTTTTCGAAGTTACCAATCCAATCCAGCTACGTTTTCCTCCATTTCTGTGGTTGACTTAAGGACCCGTCCTTTTCTATGGATTATATGATTCAAGAAATCTCGCAAGGAGCTTGTAGTTCAAGTAATTAAAAATATTTAATAATGTATCCTAGATCTTAGGTCCGATTCCTCCCTCCCCAATACTTCTTTGTATCAAAAAAACCTCAACCCTATTTTTTTTCTTGGTGAATACCTCCAACCCACTTGACCAAATAACCAAATATAGACAAATTTTAGCAATACTTGATTCTGTAATAACACTTTGTATTTGTTGAACAACTCCTGCTGTCCTTTTCTGTTGTCATTTTTGCATGTTAGCTAGTTGTTATTCTTTTTACTCCATCTACAATCTCCACCGCCCCAACAGAATTTCAACTCCTCTGTTTTGTAGTTATTAGTTGTTGAAACCCTCTTTGTTGATGTCTTTTGCGTTTCTATTATTTGCCATGTGTATGCATGGTATTGGATGATTTCAATTATGCTCATACTACCAAAAAACACGTCCGTACCTTTCACGTAGTTGACAGAAACTCATCCTCTCTGGCTCACATGGGTGTTGTAATTCTTTGTTGGTGTGTTTGGGCCACTCAGATAAGTAAAACAACCAACTCTGAAATACAAGTAAAAGGGATTAGACTATTTTAAATTGTTAAGGCTGTTGTGTATGAAATTCAACAATTTCATCTTTGTGTCATATGTTCTGTTTAATTTTCCGTCATAAGTTATTCCATTCATGAGATTTATAAAATATGATTATTACTATGATAATTATGTAAATGAACAGAGCATTCTTAGCTATGAGTCTCGATATTGTTTTTTCACAGCAACAGATTTGCAAGAAGCTTGGTCAATATGCTGAAATCAACTTTAGACGAGTATGACATTTCATGTGAATTGGATGTGGCATGTTATAATAAATGTTTGTAAATTTATTGACTTTTGTAAACATGAACTATGGATCAGTGGTTTTTTTTTTCAATCTATGTATGGTTTTGTGCTCGTATTGATTACTTTTAGTTATGCACATATTATGTTTTTTTTGTTTTTTTATTTTTATTTTTTATAAATCATGGTTAGGATGAGAATGTCATCACATTCATGACAACCACGGCAAAGGACCCATATGCTATTCTTAAGGCTAGATATCTTGTTCTACTTTTGTCAATGTTGAGGCCTAAAAATTCCACGGTTTTGCCCAAATGAATTCTTGGCCCAGCGTAATAACTTATTGAGAAAAAACCCGACTTGGAGCACACAAAAATCTGCCATGCACGAGTCACACTCCACGCACCATGCCAAATAAATAATCCGTCATGCTAGGAATCGAGATTAAGATTATAAAATGCATTATCTTTGCAAATCCATGCTAATTATTCCGTCAAGCATAATAATTAAAAGCATGCCAAGTGATATGCCATGCCAAGGATTGAAATAATATTCTAAAATACCAGTCCATGCTAAACTAAGCACCGTGTCCCTCTTCAAGGACGATAAAATTGAAGCGCACCAAGCGACATGCCATGCCAAGCAAGGAATTATTATTCCGCACCCAACCACGTTACAAGCCTAAGTGGGCCCCAATCCACTTAAATACCCGAGGCTTGTTTGAGTGGGTTGTGGTATGGATGGTAATAAATTGTCATGAGGC